GGATGGATGGATGGATGGATGGATGGATGGATGGATGGATGGATGGATGGATGGATGTGGGGGATTGGTGCTGAAGCAACAATATTGTAGAGGGAAAGGCTGCTAACAGGCACAAGCAACAAAGATCTTTATGAGTTTCACGTAACACTTCCTCTCTTGAAAGGCACTTATCACACACAGAAGTATGATTTTTCAAGTCCTGCTTATGTGTATGAATGGAAGCTATTCAAATTCTGGTCTGGAATGGACAACGTTTCAGATGGGAGAGGGAAGACACTTAATGGACTGAATATGGGGTGTGTGCCTCACCCTTGGAGAATGGGGGGAAGTGCCCCTAATCATGAGTTGTCTATAAAACATAGCCTGTAGCTGCAGTTTTGAAATCCCCAGAAAGCTAGTGGAGATGCAGCGCAAGGGTAAATGGACCCTTGACTTCACACAGTATCATTTTCTATTGTAGTCTATGTTGTTTTCAGTCACAAAGAACAACACACTGGCTTATATCCCCATTTTTCTTCACAGCAGCCCTGTGAAGTAGGTTAGGTTGCTAGACAGTGATTGGTCCATCTTCACTCAGTGGCTGAAACCCTGTTGGTTAGGATAGTAAGTTGGAACTAGAGTAGGCCTGCTGGATCACTGAGTTTTTGGTAAGTCAACTCCTCCGTAGGTTCCATTGATTCAATGGGGCCACTCAAGTTGTGACCTACTACGTGAAGCAACAGGATGCGTGCCAGTGAAGTTTATAGTTAAGTGTAGACCTGAATCAACTTCTTTCTAATCCAAGTCCAACACTATACACCACAACAGGCTGTTTCTTGTCAGCATTGTAAAACATTATGAAGCCATTACAGGCAATAAAAGTAGGACTGTTTAAAACGCTAGTTGATTTTATTTTAATTACAGAAATATCCTCAGTAATGAAATCCCTTCTACTGCAATAATGGCAAAACAAAAAAGCTTCTTTCTGCATGCAGTACCCTACTTGTACATATTGCATAACCATTGTATAATAGATAGAAGTATGGGACCTGAGGTAGAAATAGGCTTTTTTGCTGTTACTGATGCTTTTTGTTATAATGGATGCAAATATTGAAGTGTACCTTTTGTGACTTCATTCTTGTGTCCTTTCTTCTTTCCTTTTCTTTGTTCCTGAGCAGCAGAAATTGCACTGATCTGAAAAAGATTGATATCAACAGCCTTCTTTACACTTAATAGGACCTTTTCAGAGTCATATGTAGCATAGTTTTCTTTTATTATTCTCCTGAAGCATTTTGAGGATCTTTGGGGCATTTCCCTTTCCCTTTTGTTCTCCATTTCATAAGAGACAGAGAGCGAAATTATCAGTGTGATAACACTTCACAACGGACAGGACTATATGTCCCTGCCCAGGAAGCCAACAAACAGAAAGCCAATGCAGACAAAATGTCCTAGGCACTGGAATGACGCCTGAAATATTGAGTGTAGGAGAAAAAGGTGGGTATTCCCCTTATCTGACTTGAATAGACTGCAGCAGCTTGGAGAGACTTAATAAGATGCAGAACCAGTTCCGTTTTTTACCATCCAACCTTGCTGGCAAAAGTAGACAGGTGTCACTCACAGTTTACATGATCAGCAAAGCGCAACATTTCTACGGCTACCGCTTCACCGCTTGGGCACACAAGATATAAATGCATTTTGAAAGAAGAGCTCAGAATAAAGGGAAGGGAAGGAGACAAAAAGAAAACAGCCAGGAGTGAATTAGAAAGGTAAAAGAGAAGGGGGTGTGGGGGGGGAAATCCTAATTTCAGAAGCTCATTGCAGTGTAATTATCAAACGGCAACAGTAGGCTGAGATGCCTGCTAATTAAGCCGGCATTTCTTTATGACTAGCTACTTTGAGTTGCCATTTGACAGACCAAAGGGAAGGGGGAGGTGCACATAAAGTTGTTTTTAATTACATTTGGTATGCTAATTTCTGATATAAAATAAATATTTACCGGGAGCAATATTTCTTCATTTCACGCTGACTGCACCGTGGCGTTTATCAAGGGTTACAAACAGGCTGCTATCACCCAGCCCTCTCCACAGTGCCCTCACAGCTTTCTAAGGCGGGCAAGAAAAATTGGAGTATTCTCGTGACACATGTCACATCGACACAGTGAAGTGGGACTAGGAGGTAGAAGGAAGAAGTAAGCTTTCTCAGAGCCAAGAAACTTATTTTTAAAATACCATTATTACAGTTCCAAGCCCCCCTCCAAAGTAGATATTTGTTATTGTTGCACTAAAAAAAATTCACCCTTTAATTTTTTTTTTTTTTTACAATGCCTCATATAGGTGTTGTAAAACTGATGGAGGAGTGGACTCGCCAGATCTCCACTGCTTCAGTGGGCCTATTCTGGCTTTTGGCCAGTATGTTAAAATCATAATGTAACTTATTAACCAAAGCCCTGTCAGAGGGGGTTTGGCTGTGCAATGAGAATTATATCATAGGCAACAGCAGATTACTATTGATTAAAGACTTCCTTTTGCTATTGTGAGATTGTAGTAATTTACTATGGCTGAAATTCACATGCACCCCAAAATCACAAGATGACACTTTTCCTCATCTGTGACTGCAGCAGCCAATGATGTCATCCCCCTAGTTCTGGCTGAGTTATGCAACAGGATTCCAGTCATTATCAAAGAAACAAATTACAAGTTATTTATAACAAGCTGCTTCCAAACTCTGTGCTTTCCTCTGGCAAATATTTTCCCCTTCTGACATTTTCAGCCTCGGCTCTGTCCGCATTTCTTCTCCCGAGAACCAAATTACCAGAACGAGGGAAAACCTGGGGCTCATCAAAGACAACTCCATGGCTCAGTGTTGTCACAGGTTTTGTTTCTGGGAAGAGGAAGCATGATTCAAACCCAGGCTAAGAGAATGTTGAGAGAAGTCAACCTAGGAGCACCATGCCACCAAATGCCCTATTAGGTATTTGTAAGTACTGACACATAGGCCAAAATCTTGTTGGCATAACTATGGCTATGGAAGGATTCATCAGCAAAGGGTGATTTTTGGAAAGTAACACTTCCTACTTCTGTCCCACAGCTTCCACACAATGAAAGAGATTACATGGGAGCCACTGGACTAAAGTAGGAAGTGTTTAATTTCCCAAAATTGCCCTTACTGATTGTAGGTGAAGTTATAGGTGAAGTTATGCCAACAGGACTTAATAGTAAATTACTGCCACCTTAGGCTTGAGGCAAAGCACCAAATCAACACACGTCATATTACAGTAACACCCAAGGTGGTTCCTGGTAGGTGCATGCACTTGGGCTGATTACATTATTTGCACTAAGGCAGGACTGGAGTGTCTGATGTAATTGATGTGCATTCTTTGGTGACACGGCTCTTGACATCAGCAGCAGCAGCAGAAGCAGAGCACAAGTCTGGAGGTGTGGGAAAAAGACCTCCCAATGGGCAGGTGGTGAGCCTTACATAAGCTCCAGCACCAGTGCAGGGCCTGTAAAAAGCCCCTCATAACGTCAAAGTTATGTGTGCATTGTGCCAGTCTTTGAAGGGAAAGATTCTGGATCCTTTGCTTGGGTTCTCAAGCCTCTTTCCACCATTTGGGAGACAGGGGGCAAAGGGGCACTTGTGGGAGTCAGTTCCCTCAATCACACACCCCTTGTCTCCAGACCATTTATTTCTTTTTTTTTTTAATGCTTGCTGCCAAGAGAAATGAAGAAATTGCTAATCAACACTTCACAGTTTCTTAAGGTAACTTTTCTGTAACCATGCCTCCTGCAAATTTGGATAGCTATGGCAAAAGTTGTTTAAACAAGCTGCAAACAAGAGCTGATTACCAATTTCCTCTTCTCTCTCTGCTGACTCCTAGTTGTGTGAGCAACTAAAGCAAATTCGCCATGAGAATCCCAATTTTGCAGGTGCAAATTTCACTGGATCAATGTGGATTTTTCCCACTGTGTAGTTGCACCCTTACTCAGCAAATGCAGCATTGCACTTTCAATTTTTAAAAACACAGCATACTATTTCTGCTTATAAAGACATTTGTAAATTTTGATATATTTTCATTTTTTTTAAAAAAGTCCTAATAACATACCAAGTAAAATTCTCACCCTTCCCTAGAGAAAAGAATTGAATTAGATCTGAAATGTGGATTTTCCAAGTACAGTATAGAAAGTCTCAATTTTGTTCAGTTTATTTCTTGGAAATAGAGAACATTTTCAGAAACTGACTGGGCTGTCTCTGCTGAAGAATGTTTACTCTGAAGGAAGTCTTACTGAGTCCTTTTAGACATCTTTCTGAATAGGCATCTTTTAGATTTGGTATTTAGTAAAAAATCTTGTATTATGCTTCTTTCTCTCCCTCCCTCCCTCCCACACACCCTTCATGATTTATTTTCCTGCTCACCTGCTAACATATCTTTCTCACTGTGTCTGCACCATTTCTATCTTTCAGGTGTAAAGACTGGGGCAGCACATCCCATTTAGGAGGGTGTTGCCATGATGTCACGTCAATGTTACATATTGACTTTGCCAGCTCAGAACATCTACTGGCTTCTGCGTTTGCTAACACACCTCATTAGCCTTTGAGCCAGCTTATAGCTCGATTTCACTGTAACATAGAGCCCATTTCAGTGGCGATTGCCTGGAAAGGAGGAGAGGCTGCATAACCCTTTATAGCTCCAGCAGCTGCTCACCGAAACCCCAATTTTGCAGCTCAAAGGTAAAATAGAAAAATTAGCAGCTGCCCAGTGAGCATGAAGTAGTCGCTTCTCAAGCAGAAAGAGGGAAATTTGATACTCTCATTCACTATCGATTGAGACGGTAGGTGCTTTGAGCTACCACCTGTTTGGCATGAAGAAGAGAGAGAGAAGCTGCCTCAGCAAGAAATGTCTTTTATTTTTATTCATTTTTAAAAGGGTATAAGCCTGTCATGCTGCTTAAACTATCCATATCTGAGTTAGGGAAGAGGAAAAATGGTGTTGGCTCTCATTTTACTGTGAATTTACTTAATTCAGCTTTTCACCAACATGCAACTGTGATGTGGTTATACTTCAATAATCCACTTTCCAAAATTTTGTGGGCCAGTTCTCTTATTTTAAAATGCACATGGCAGTGTATATATTGGGAGTTAATGTGCAAATACATATATTCGTGAAAATAAATGAACAAAAATGTATAATCTCAGCAAAACGGGCTGTGAATACTTTATTAGGAAAAGCTACAGAAAGAGATGTGAATATTAGGAGAAATGAGCATGAAAAAATGTGTAATTTTCTTTGCACTTTTTGAAAGAATGCACAAGCTAATATGGAAATAGGATGGGGAAAAAACTTGAGATTGGATAAAATACAGAACAGAGCAACACTGAAACTGAGAGATTTGTCCACAAAATATTTACAGCATACACAGGGTCATACCTGGATTATAAACTCAGCAAATTAAAGCAAATGCTCCAGACCTCACAGC